CCATTCTACAAAAGAGATATAAGCACCCTTGGATTTTGGTATCTGTAGGGGGATCCTGGAATGCATATCCCACTGATACTGAGGGACAACTCTTTATACATACTTTATTTCTTAAAAGACTCATAGAATTTTCCTCTTTCATCAAAATCTTTTGTGTTTAGAGTGTAGCATGTGCAGTGTCTTGGGTTTAATTCCTAATGCATGCGGGTGCACACAAATAGCCCCCAAAATAAAAACATGCCTAGTTTACAAATTTGAAGTTGTACCAGAGCCATCTACTAAGCTTGACACAGGTGGATTGGCCCATCCCTAGATTTGTTTGGTTTATATTGAGGCTTTGTTTTGAATGAGTTTCCAGGCACTGTTGTGACTGGTCCACAGACCACACTTTCAGAACCACTGTCCTAATGAATGCTCTGTCTAGCACTGTCACAAGCCAGGAGCATTCAGTGACTCAGTACTTATCACAAGCCAACTGGAAGCAGTCTCTCAGGGGAGCTCTGCCCAGAACTGGGAAGTGAACCATGCAAGCTCTGCCTGCCTCAGGCACACTCCATGTGCCTCCATGAAGATCTAGTTTTCATTTCTCTGAGCAATTGCACATGGGTGTGGATCTCAAGAAGCTCAGGCAAGAGACAGGTGTCCTCAGAGTGGTATCTCCTGGGACAGAACAGGTTCCTGATACCCTAGGGCAGCCATGGAAACTCGGGTATATCCTTTCTCACCTCCAGAAATGACAGCTAAAATCAATGTCCCCTCCTTGGGAGAAAGCACTTCAGTGATACTCGAAATAAATGGATGAACCAAATCTGCCTCTCATGGTTGTTCATTCAGTTGTGCTTCTCCCACAGCAGCTGCATGAGATGCCTTAATATCTACAGTTCACAGGTCTCAAAGAAAGGATGATGCTAAGCAGACTTTGGTTAAAAATCACCATGGCATGGGTGCACCTTTCTGGACATCAAGAATAGACAGGGAGGATGAAGCTGAGCCAGCATAAGATGAGAACAGAACCCAGGCCGCCTTGAATACTCCAAGGAGACCCCCTCCCCTACAGATGGGATGACTCAAGCCAATAGCAGTCCAGAGTGCTTAAATCCACTGAATGGTCGGTCATAAGAAGAGTCAAGCAGAGAGCAAGCTGCTTAGACCCGAAGCTACAGGTGGAGGGAGTCCAGACAGGCTCAGGAGGAGCCAGAAAGGAGGAACATGGGCCATTCTTTAAACACTGGAGAAGGGAAGGGCCACCTGGCTCAGGGGCAGGTAAAGGGACTGACAGGAAGATTAGCAACTGTCCTGACAACAATAATAATAATGAGTTACTGTTGCATTCTCAGGGTGTGGTAACAACAACAAGCATTCAAGGAGCTTTCCAGTCCTCTCCCTGGGCAGTGTCAAACATGATTGCTGAGCATGGCCTTGGACCAGCACAATTAAGAAATGGGTAATACTACACCTCCTGGGTGACTGGAATGCAGACCTGATGAGGTGGCTCATTGAAAATTGAGCCCAGTCCAGTTAGCAATGCAAAGTAGCATTTATTGCTGTTTGTTAGCTTACTGCTAAAAGACAAAATTGCAACAAATTTAATTAAGGTTTTAATTGGCTTTAACTGTATTTCTAAATATAAATCACAAAATATATAATTATAAATAATGGAGTATTAAATTTGTGTTTGTATATTTTTAAATTTTT